CTGTTGCCGGAGAGATGGGAAAAAGTAGTAGAAAATGGAGGAAATTACTTTGATTAAGGCATTCATTCATCTTCCCTTTGAAACAAATCGATTTTCGAGACAAAAAAACGATAGGAATTAAGTTTAACACCTAATATATGGCCGCGTGGTAAAATTCTATAAACAGATAGGCATTGAATCATTCGTTACATGCTGATTTTCGCGGAACGTGCACGAGTGGAGAAGCCGAAATTATTTTTTTCATGCATCAAGTAAACTTTTATTGCGTACACAAAATTTAAAATATTTTTTTTCTTTATAACAAAGGTATAATGTATTATCTTAATATATTTTAATGATTATCTGTGTTGATGTTTTTCATATTTGAGTTGATTTTTATCTAGGTTTTTATTTAAAAAATTGATTATGAATCATAAAATACCATAATAAAATCATATTAGGGGACAATAGTAACATCGATGCCTGTCAGTTATTCAATTTTATGCTGTAGAATCTGGATTTTGTAAGAAGGACTGTTACTTCGGCTTACTTAATAGCATCAGCAACTTTGTTATATTTGGCGAATACTTTTTGTAATCGAACCATGGCGTATATCCAGGATTTATTTTTTGACAACTACTATTCATTGCTGGATACTCAGCGATATTTGAATGTTTGGCGTAAATTCAGGATCTAGAGAAGAGATCCGGGTTCAAATTCCGGCCGAGGTAATATTTTTCGCAATAAATTTATTGACAGTTTTTATATATTAACATCTTTATAATATATGATGCTTGATGGTAGCATCAAATTATTAAATTGCTTGTCAATTTAATTCGTGATTACTAGAGTAGTTTTAATTGCGTTTGTTTAGTCCGGAAAAACAATTCGGCGCGCAGTTAGAAAAAAACTACAATATGGTATATATGCAAGTACATATATAGTATATATTAGTAATTCAAGATTGAATTATTAAAAAGCAACGAAGATCCAGCTCCGACCGTAATAGGCAGTTAAATTTCTAGTATTAGTTGAGTTTCTCAAATAAACGGTTAAAAAATATAAATATATTGTTCAGGATCTACCTTCCGTCGACTACATATAACTGAAATTAGGCCTGAACAACGAAGGTCTATTTATAATAATTTTCATTATACTTCTATAATTAGTGATCTATGTTAATTTATTGTAGTCAACCGTTTTCATATACGTACTTGTTTATAACTTTGAAAATGTAGGTGGTCGAAACGTTGATGTAGACATATTTTTAGTTTGATGTAGACATATTTTTATTTTGTTTTTACTTTTATTTTACTTAATGTCAACTGTATCATATGAACATTAAAATTTGTTTTGTTTTGGCTCGTAGCTCTTCTTATTTATTTTATTTTATTTATAAATAGTACGGCACAATTGTCCCTCTCTACTGTTACAATCGACCCAGGGGTTGAGACGGTTGTAACAAAATTCCTCATAATCTTTAAACAAACATAACTTTTTTCTAATTACATTGAAAAATTGAATCAAAGAAAATTTTGTAGCTAAATAAATTCTACATCTAAAGATATATACTTTTTTTAATGTAAATAATATATTTTAACTGTTATAACACTTAAAAGTTAAAATGTTACTTTTGTCCCCGGTCTTCCCTAGCTGCTAGTTTGTCTAACATTTAGTATGATTTTAAGTCAGATTTATTAAAATTCCCAAAGAAGAAATAGAAGAGATCAAATTGCACTTTTATGACTGTGAAATGTTGAGTTTGGTTTGAAATTCCCAAAGAGTATCTTCAAATAACTGGCTAAAAGCATAAAGATTTTCTTTTAAATTATGCAGTAGTTGCTGCGCCGTGTAAAAATTTGACTTAATAAAAACAAATTTCGGGATTAATGTAATTTTGTGACGTTATTTAAAAATTTGATAGTTTTCTGCTCGTATAAGAGATATAGATAATATCGATAAATCTCTATCAAGACTTTGTTATTTAATTAGTCGCGTGTAATTCGAATGTAAAACGGAAATGAGCAAGGTTACTAATCGGGCGTGATTTGAAACAGACGGGCGAGATAGAATATCATTTCATTTCAGAGATAACAGACGTGGAATATCCGTTCGAACACATTTGCGAATCTCATCCGACGGACGGCCTTATTACATAAAGTTCGGCGACGCATCTCGAACTGTTTGCTATGGAACACAGTGAAATGTTGTCATTCTGTGCGACAATGTTCCCAACTTGCCGCGAATGTCACCAAGCTTGATGAAAGACGAGAGTTTACGAGTAAACTTCAACCCGAAACTCCGTATAATCATTCGACCTCACTCTTAAGGTCGCCTATCAGTCGCGGACTCGCTTGTCTGCGAATTATTTCCCGTAATTAAAAGCCTATCATGATGCGGTAGTTTGAACTTTTGCCGGAAAAGTTTTATCATAATCGTACACACAATTCACTCCTATTGATCTTTTTGCATCAAATTATAATAGATTAATCGATAGCTTAATCTAATATTCTGTATACATGTGTATATAAATTTTATTTTTGACGTCTTTTTTTAATGCTATTTTTATTTTTGTATTTTTACGAAAGAAAAAATGTACTGCCATTAAGAATTTTCTATCCTTTTACGTCATGTTTGTTTTACTTTATTGATGTTATTTGACCGCGGAATAATAAAATAATCGTCTTTCCTTTTCGCTTGCAGGGCGCTATATTGACGACCATGCTGGCGACGCGGAACTTTTCCAGTAAGTATGATGCACAGGGTAAGTACCTCCGGCCCTCTTCAGCGCTCTACACGGACCACGACAGACAGTACTTTTATATCTTCCGTTAAACTTTACATCTCCATATCTCTGTATACATCCTTTTAACAACCCACCATAACAAAATTGCATATCTCTCTCCTTTTCTCCTGTCGTTTATTCGTCTTGCACTCTCGTCACATAGAAAAACTATTCATTTGTCTTTTCGCTCTTTTCGAGAGGTGCTTTATAATGCAGTTGTGCAGAGTGTCGTCATTATTAAATACGTTATCTTATACCACTCTATCACGATGACAAACTGTCAATTTTATCTTGACAATTATGAGGATTAATACAAAATCTTTTTGCATTAAGTTCGATTGTATTGATATTTTTTTTCTTTCTCGTAGAAACGACTGCAGAATGGAGCATCTGTGTATATCTTTGCTCGTGCACAGAAATAAATTAGAGCCCTATCTTTGACAACCCCTTGTATTAAATGATCGAAGGAGCGAGGTTGAGCAAGGAATTCAAAAGTTGTAATAACAGCATGATGGTCATGGATGATTGACCGTATCGGTTATCCGAAAATTATTGTCCATGCGGGTTTCGTGGCTAATTAAGCGCTTATTGAACAAATAATCATATTTTGTTAATTTTATCCTCGCTCACTCGGCATATTGGTTATCACGATATGATGTTCATCCCTACCTATTTCGTATACTTTATATAGTCGATGCACATGGCTCGCACTTCATATCCTGCAAGGACTGTGGCACGTTACCCAGAGCGCAAGAATTTACAATTAGTTGTTTACATTGGACATATATGATTTATTTTATGTCGTATAACATAACTTATCTCACTCTATGTAACTCTCGTTATAAAGGCAAGCAACTATCCCAAATTTTAATCCTTTCGTTGCAATATCATAATGTTTTTTTAAAGTTACTAGTAAACAAAAATTGTAATTGTATATTGATCACTTTTATTGTATCTACGTAAACTATAAATGGTGCAAAGCAACATTTATATTAATAAGAAGATGTGTTTATTGTTTATGAAACTGTATTTTCAGCATTCAAATATATATAAAATTTATATATAAAGTATATGAATAATGAAAGGATTAAGAAAATATGTATGTTTACAATTGAGAAATAAGGTATTGAATTCCACGCACATACACGTTTCTTGCGAAACGAAAATTCTGGGTAACGCAAATCGTCGTCGCAGTGGACTCAAGCAGTTTTCTCTTTCATCGAATCGCCATCGTTATCACTCCATCGAAAAATAATTTGATACAAGCTAGGCAAATCATTGGATTATCTTGTGTTTCTTCAGAACATTCTTTCAATCGCTATCGTAATCAATCGTTTCAATATATCGTGAGTGATCATTTATCGTAAGAATTACAACAGCACTCGGGGATCTCTAAAATTCAGTGAAATTCAAATCATTAGATCCGCTGTGCATCCGCTTAAACGTGTTTACAACAAATCTTATCCTCTATACAAAATTTTTCATTGAAAATCGCTTATCCGGAATTTCTTATTTATTACGACAAACTTTTTGCCCAAGCTTATAGGAATAATATACCTACATAGGAAACGAAGTTATTGATACTGTTGTATTATCGAGGTGTCTTCCCCATTATCATTAAAATTAGATTTTGTAATTATTTTTTGAATCAATAATTAAAAAAAAATTAGGGACACACATACTTGAATTAGAATTTTATGATTGGTAAAAAATGCAAAATCTATACGCACATTTTATGTCCCGTATTTAAAATGGATAATAATTGTTTTGTCTCGATGTTTTACTGGTTTTTATCGATTCTCGAGAAAAACCGTACGTAAGAATTTCGAAATGTAGGAAAACGTGAAAATAATCGGGCGGTCGTGACGTCATAATAATGTTTAATATCTAAAAATTAAATTTCATTAATTACTTATCACGACGCAAACGAGTAGTTTATACGAAATCTCTAACAGCACAGGACGTATTGAACTTACTACAAAGCTAGTGAGAGTCAGCGCAGAATAATCAATTAAGTCAATCCGATCTATTTGTCTCAAAATAGACTACATCGATATCAATTATTTCTAATTTTCGATTATCGATTTCTTAATGTTGTGCGTTGTGAATCATGATTGGAACGAAGAAATTTTAATTAGAAAGATAATTGGGATAAAGAGATGAACCAATCGGAATTAAGATTTGATAAAATGGTAACGCAACGCACGCAACAATAACTGTATTATTAGAAATGATTTTATGATTGTACAAAGAAAACGCGTAATTGTGTTAAATTGCGACTTTTAAAAATGAGATATACCGCGAATGTAAATATTTAGCGAAATTGGAAAGATCTATGAAAGGCGAAAAAACTTCAACGGATCGAAACGAAAAATAGCTCAACTGTTTCGGTCCACTAGCGAGATTCCCCTATGAATGACTGTACGTTTTATTAATGTTGATTATTTCCATATGTTTGTGTCAATGGTTTCCAAACTTTTCACTTTTTCATCTCTATAATTATATATCTTCTGTCTCTCTCATTTAGAGAGAGAGAGAGAGAGAGAGAGAGAGAGAGAGAGAGAGAGAGAGAGAGAGAGAGAGAGAGAACAAGTAAACATATTGAAAACAAGGTTTTTTTCAAAGATTAGATAAATAATAGAAAAGTATTTGCAGTTCTGTTAATTAATATATGGAGTATAGAAAAATTTAATCGTAATTAAAATTATAGAAACAATTGCTTAATTTTTCTTTTTTTTAATTAAATTAAATATATCAATCATTATATTTAATATATTTTCAAGTTTAATATATCATTTTTTTTCTGAAAATATTTTTAGTTTGGAAACTCTTGATCATCGGATTGGACACAGCCCTAAATTTAGTACAAATTGCGCTTTTTGACCCTTATTCGTGCTAAACATATTTAACATTTGAAATATGATAAATGTTTGAAAAATTAAAATTAGTTTTTAAACATCATTGATATCTTGTCATCGATTTATATAAAAATATTGGAATATTACATAGATCATCGTTGTATTCTTTAAAGATTGATAATAAATTACATTGTTAGAAATTTGATGATAAATGATTATTAAGTATGAATACGTGAATAAAAATGTTAAGAAAGTTGTATATATTTTATAATTTATGAAACATATTCAGAATGAAACATATTTGAATGAACAATAATATTTAGATTTGTATTTTTACGAAGTACATATAATACGTAAAAAATTAGCAAATTATTACAAAGATAGTAAAATATATGTAGAAATTACAAATTAAAAAAGAGAAGGAAATTTTGTTAAATAAGCAACATTCTCAGCTGTGATTTGTGCTGCATCAGTTCCAGTTTTTAAAAATGAATAAAAATGAATCTACTCTTTTAAGAAACGAGTGCGAATATGGGTCATTATAGGCATTGCATATATGCATACATATATGTATGTGTACACATCTCGCTACTATTTGCTCGAATAGCGTAAATACATGCGGATTCGTTCCACACCCGTATAATAGTTGTTTGACAGATAATATGTCACATTATGTATGGCATATGCATCTATACATATTTGTATGTACATATGTAGGTACGTATATGTATAGACAATCGAAGAATATCCCTAGAGTGTGTCTCGCCCCTCGCCCCTCTTTTTAGATTGACAAGTAGCTAAGCATCTTGCATCAGTAGATTCGATGATACACGTGTACCATGTATCTGTATAACACACGTGCGTTTTATCTTTTACAATCGGTGTTAGAGTATGTACATATACGTGTCTATGTCTATTTTTGTAATTTTTAATGATATTCCAAGGATATGCTCACATATTTATATAGAATGTCGGGGGTAGTTTGCGTAGTTCGTCGCGGGTTGCTGGATTAAACAATTACACAAATCGAAGACTATTTTGAATCGAGAATTTACACGATACTGAAAAATTCTGCGATATCCTTAGGCCTGAAAAACTTTCTATTGTGACAAAAAATTGATTTATCTATTTCGGAAAATTTAAAACATGATATGATTAGTAATTATGTTCAAATAACATTTGATATAGGATATGCCAGATTTTTCTTCTGTCTTGCTGCAATTGAAAATTGAGACTGAGCAGTTTATAGTTTGTACAACACTATATGGTTGTAGATAAACGTGGAATTTTTTATCTACAAAAACACCTCGGTTAAACTTGGATTTTTTTTTAGCTTTATTATATTTCGCAATCTTATAAATAGACAATTATTTGCAGTTTTTTAAATTGTATACAAATTATTTCTAATATTATATAAAAAAATAATGTGCGTGATAATGGTTCATCGATTTTTCAGAATATCTTATATTTCGAAGTATCATTTTTACGATAAAAAATTTTGTTGTCGCCAGTTATTTCCTAATACTACGATCTTGTATACTGTGATGGAAAATTGTTCTCGAGTGAGATGATACCGTTTTTATTTACATACGAACGGCTGTTCTCTTTCACACGCCCATCCTCGTTCTACATTCGGCGCGAATCTTTGTTCGAGTGACTGCAAAACAATTAACTCTCCGTCTTCCCGTGTCTTGAGTTTTCTTCTAATGCCCTTCTTCCTTCCTTTCTTCTTCCCTTCTCTCTTTCTCTCTCTCTTTCTCTCTCGTAGAAACCGTCGCCAAAGCTCGAACTTTGACTTTAATTAAATTTATTTCATCGCCTTGAGCCGACTCTCGAAGTGTAAGCTCTTCCAACTTTTCCGCGCTCCCCTCTTGGCACGCGACTTCATTCCCCACTTCGGATTTACCTTTTGCTTTTGGGAGAGGGAGAAAGGCTATTATCCTTGAGCTTCTGGCACACTGTTATTATGGAAATCGGCTTTAAGAGCTCCGCGACAAACTCCGAACGAAATACAGATCGAGAGCATCGATGGTCTGTTTAGTCGAATTGCTTTTCACGTCGTATCTTGATCGAGACAGCTTGTGGGGTAGAAGAATCTTGCAAAAATAATAACTGTCGGAA